CCGTAGAGTCTGCTCTGACCCATAGCAACCCTGTGCAACAGAGCGAAAACCTGCTGGGTTCTCTGCCACTCTCACAATTGCTCTTACTGCCCATTGTTGCAGCCAGTGAGTCCATCCATCTCCTTGAGGGTCTTCCTCCCTTTTGCTGCATGCCTCCTGCACCACGCATGATGTAGATAAGAGAGACAACGGCCAAGGATGACTGAGATGGAGATGGGTGAGGGGGCAATAGGTTTTGAGGAAAAGACCGGTCATTTGGAATACATGTCTCCACTACCCACAGGGAGCTGTTGAGGAGGGCTGGTTATGGGGATCTGGAGTTGGGAGATTGCTCAGGGCTGGCAGTAAAGACCTGTGGTCCTTAGGGTATGGTATTTAAGGCCCGAGTTGGAATGAGGGCAGTTGGGGAAGGGGTGCATAGCTACTGTACCCACCCAGCCACACTCCATTTCTAAGAGGCCGGGAGAAAGGGGAGAGTCGTCAGAGGGGTGTGGGAAGGAGCACACAGTAAGGTGGTAGGAGAACTAGGAGCAGGTAGTATCCTGGAAGCTGCAAGAAGAATGGGGCTCAAGGAGGGAAAGGGTCAATGATACAAGGAGCCCCGGTGGCTGAGTGGTGAGGGCCTGAAGCTTGAGCCCACCGGCCGCTCCACAGGAGAAAGAGCGGTTCTTCTACTCCCGTATAGTTACAGTCTGAGAAACTCCAGGGAGCTTCTGCCCTGTCCTGCAGGGTCGCTGTGAGTCAGCATCTACTCGATGGCCATGAGTAACATCAAATGGTGCTAATACAGTATTATCACGGGCAGTGCCACCAAGGAGGCGGCGCTGCCTCCATAGCAAATGTATATCCCCACTGCCGTATAGGAGTTTGTCTTAGGAAATGGTTAGAGGACTCAAGTTTATCAGGCATCAGCTCTCGTATGATAAACAAGGTCCTCATGGCCAGGTGCTCCAGTAGACCTCATTCCTTTAGAACCAGAGAATCAGAAGTAGCCTTTGCAATGCTAAGTGTAGTGGCTGGAATCCACATCTCTGGAGGTCAGGCTTTTGCCGTTTCGAGAGGTCTCTGGAGGAAGGGTGAACCCCAACTCGAACACGGAGCTGGGATCCTAGGCGCTGGCAGTGGACAGGCTCAGTGGGTGAGCAGAGATTTAGGGTTGCTACGTGAGTTTGTCACCTGGCTCTCCCCCACCAGGGACAGTGTGGAGGGAAGACTGATAGGTCTTTCCTGCAAGTTGAGAGCAGTTGAGTGATGTGTTTTCTCTCCCAGGATGGAGAGGCTGTCTCCGTTTGTGCTATCCCTCCTCCCAGCAGCCCGGCACAGCCGGGCCAAGCGAGCTGAAAGGTTGTTGGCCGTTTTTACGTACACCACAGGCTCCTATAAAGAGCTGCAGTCTTAGAAACCTGGTGTCAGGTCAGGTCACTGTGAATCAACTCAATGGCTCCGAAATTCACTGCCATTGAGTTGAAAACACCACCAGGGCTTCTTGGTGACTTCCGGAGGACACGCAGGACACCCACCCTTCCTCCAGGCCTTTCCCTGGGCTGTTTCAGGGAGAGCGGGGTGGGGAGTCACCCTGAGGGCTCTGGATCTGATAGGGCAATGTGGCCAGGCCTTTTTTTATCTACTCTGTGCCAGGCCTGTGTCAAAGGCTAGAGCTACAGATGTGGACGGTAAGCAGACCCTGCCTTTAAAGTAATCGAATGAACAGGATTGTGCAAAAAGTGTAAAATTGGACCTTTTATCATTTGTGAAGGAGCAGCTCCTCATTTCTAAGCCAGGAGAAGAATGATAGCTTTTTAAACGTAATACAGTTCATGACGTGACTAGAAACTTCGCATTTGTTCTACTTGATAGGAGGCCGACTCATTGCCACCCTACAGGACAGGGCGACCTGCCCCTGTGAGTTTCCAAGACGTCACTCTGTGTAGGACTAAGAAGCCCCACCTGTCTCCCCTGGAACAGCTTGTGGTTTTGAACTGCTGACTTTGTGGGTCGTAATATAACCACTGCCTCACCAGGGTTCCTTGATTAAAAAAGAAAATGATTTATAAGTCTGTACACATATACAGAAAATGATATCTAAGTCTGTGTACACACGCACACAAACAGCACAGAAATGAAATTTCCCAGATTCCATCTCCTGTGGGTGGTTGTTGATAGCAACTTGTTATGAGTTTTTTAAGTGAACTTAGTTACTGTAGTAGCATAATTATTATGTTACTAAAATTTGCTTATATATTTCTCTGAAAATTCTTTTTTCTCCTGTGGAATTATTTTGTCTTTTTTTTTTAACGTGGAGATAAAACATTCAAAGTGTGAGTTTTTCTTAATCTGCCCAGGCATTTTTAGTTTTAAGAAAAATGTCTCTTTCTGAAAATAAAGTTCTGTAAACCCTACATCTTTCCCACACGGAGTTTTGTTTTGTGAGCTATAATGATAATTATATATGTCTTATTCATATCTTTATTGCTAAGTAACTGACGCATGTTAGGCTATTGGAACCTGGCTGTCTTAAAACATTTCTTTTTAATGAAGTGGAATTTTGCATTTGATACAGACAACTAGATTCAGACTTTGGTGTGGAAGTTCAGTGTCTTCTGAATGTATTGCTCTTCCTCCGGATTCCAGAAAAGCATGTAAAAATAAACCTTGGACTGTGCCTGAGCACATGGTTAAGTATAACTATTTGTTGGATGAGTTAGTCATTTCTTGAACTCTTTTCATCTCCCACGCAGGTGGGACTCCTTATTCTATGCATTACAGGCTCTCGCTGTTATCTTAAGAAACAAGTGAACCCACAGGGCCCAAGAGGATACTGTGGGTTGTTTGGGGGAGCCCAGCACAGAAATAAAGAACCGCCCGAGGGCAGGAGGGGCTGGCCAGAGCCGGTGACAGGGACAGAAGGGTGGTGGCGTGGCTGGTGAGGATTCTGTGCTGGGACACATTCATGACTGTGTCGTCGTCGAGGTCACTGAATGCCTGAGCTAACCGTCAGTCTTCCAGGAATTGGAGAGCCATGACTGTTGAGAGCATGGCTGCTCAGTGTGAGACATGACACAACAGTAACAATTGATAAATTATCAAGGCTTCGTGAGGGAGGGGAACAATGAGAAGCTGATACCAAGGGCTCAAATGGAAAGAAAATGTTTTGTAAATGATGATGGCAACAAATGTACAAATGTGCTTGACACAATGGATGAATGTAAGGATTGTGATAAGAGTTGTACGAACCCCCAATAAAATGATTTTAAAAAATACAGATTTGCAGCCTCGGGGAAAAAAGAGAGCTGGGCTACTCATGGGCTACTCATGGCCACCGGACGAAGCTGAGGCGCCGAGCCCCCATCCCGACCTGCCTGCATCCCACCCTTGATCCAGGGTTGCCCGAGTCTGAGTTTGAGCCCTTTAAAACCAGTAGAGAGGAGTTATACACTAAAGGAGAGCCGCTTTCCTTTAAAAACAGACAGGCCAGCCGTCTGGAGCCACAGACAAAAGTGCAGTCCGAAGCTGTCCAGAGGCCGCTTTTACCAGAGTCATGCTAGCTTCCTGGCGTTCAGTGGAGGGGAGAGTTGACGTGCACGGGCTACCCTGCCTTAGGTGAGAGGAGGCCGCCAGGGCAGGTGCGGTGGTGGAGCCAGAACTCCGTCTCATGCCATCCAGTCCATTCTGACTGACAGTAACCCTAGAGCAGTGGCGCTCAGCCTTCCTCATGCCGCTGCCCTTGCACACAGTTCCTCATGTGGCGGTGACCCCCAACCATAAAAACCATAAAATGATTTTCATCACTACTTCATCACTGTCATTTTGCTACTGTTATGAATCGGCAACCCCTGTGAAAGGGTCGTTGGACCCTGAAAGGGGTCTCAACCCACAGGTTGAGAACCGCCGCTTTATAGGCTAGAGTAAGAACTGCCCCTTTAGGTATCCAAGACTACAATTCCTTATGAGAGTAGAAAGCCTCCTCTTTCTCCTGAGGAAGGGATGGTGGATTCAAACTGCTGACCTTGCAGGTAGCTGCCCACCACAGAACCCACTACTGCCTGAGGGAGACACCGGAGAAGAACCCGCCGTGGCCCCTGGATAGGAGAGGTGTATTTGCTGCTGCTCCTCAAGTTTGTGGCCCATCTGTCTTCTCCAGAGAACATTCAACACCCTTAAAGGTTTCTTAAGGATCTCGGGTGACATAGGGGGCTGTTATATTGAGCTGCTAAGGTCAGCGGTTCACCTCCCACCCCACCCCCAGCTGCTCCATGGGCGAAAGAAGAGACTCTTAACTCCTGCGGAGTTTTAAAGTCTCCGAAATCCAAAGAGGTCGTTCTGCCCTGGCCCCTAGGGTGGCTCTGATTCAGAATGAACTCAGTGGCTGTGAGATTGGTGTTTAAACCCCAACCACCCCACTCCCCCTCCCCCCACCAGGTTCGCAGCAGAGCCTGCTTATGGAGGTCACCCAGGTGGTCCCTGTTCTTCGAAGTCCTTCTGTGTTTATTTCCGGGGATTCTTCTCTCAGGGGGAGTTGTTGCAGGTCTTTGCTTGTGTGAGGAGAGCCTCACCGGTGTTGACCTCAGTCTCTTGGGCTGTAAGCTATCATTGATGTGCTTTCTGAAGTTGTTCCGGCTCTTTCTGCTGAGCTTCAGACCACATGCACTTATCCAGATGCAGATAAGCACCTGCCAGGGCGTGAGGCGCTCAGAGACGGTCCGGTCCATGTTGTCTCTGGCAGGAAGGAGAGCAAGCTCATTCAGATGGTGCCCCATTCTGAAGTTATAATTGCTCTTTAGTGTGATCTGTTCCCCTTGTGGGATTAGAGCTGTGACACTCCCAAACTCCACATATTCACACCACGCAGCACTGATTTCAAACCCCTTGCATGAGAAGTAAATTTAGACCCTGATTGCTAAGTGTTACTATGCAGAGTGTATGTACAGTTTCCAGATACCTCATGTGGAAAGCTCCCGTTCCTGTTACGGATTATTTCACAGTATGAATCCTGTTTTTAGGAAAAGAAGAAATGTGACATCCTTCAGCGGGAAGAGCCCGATGAAGTCTCCCTTCCAGAAACTTTCAGAGCGCAGGAACTCCTTCCTCCAGCCTGTGAAATCAAAGAAGACCTCGTGCAAGTAACTGCTTCCCAGCTGCAGGACGATGCCCACGAACAAAATGAGAGCGAAATGGTCGATGTACCCCTCACCTCCTTAACGATAAGCAATGTTGAGCTCCTGACCAGTGACACGGAGGCCCGACAGGAGCGGGGAGACGTCCGAGCCTGCGGTGAGGATCAAGAGATCAAACAGAGGGCTGACCTGGGAGACACTGTTGGAACCAACGTGGAGACCCCCAAGAACTTGGTAGCAGTGGAGGAGAACAAATGGGTCCAATGTAGAGCTTCCGAAAGCACCCTGCTGGCTTATGTTTCTCATGCTCAGCAGGAAGTGGGGGGTTTGCAGGCCGGAGAAACTCCTCATAGGCGAGAAGGGACGCCGGCCCTGGGTCTTTCCTCAGATGTGCTACTCGGGGTGGGCCTGCAGCGATTTTTTGAAGCCACCCACGCTTTTCAGCAACCCCGAGTGAGAAAGCTGTATCCGCAGCTGCCGCCCGAGACGACTGCAGACGAGCCAGCTCTGGTGGCTGCGAAACCCGTCGCTCGCAGTGAACGACTCTACCCGGAACTGCCATCTCAAGGAGAGCTAACACCTTTCACTAAGGAACAGCTGAAAATCTTCGAGCCGGGCTCCTGGCTGGAAAATGTGGAGTCTTACGTGGAAGAATTTGACAGCATGGCCCACCAGGACAGGCATGAATTTTATGAGCTGCTTTTGAACTACTCCCGGTGCAGGAAGCAGCTGCTGCTGGCCGAGGCTGAGCTGGTGGCCCTGACGGCCGATTGCCAGAACGCTAAAAGTCGACTGTGGCACTTTAAGGAGGAGCAGGTGATTGCCCAGGTACGTGTCCTAAAGAGCTTGCCTGAGTGTGGGAGACTCACAGTGGAGCTGCCCTTCCTGTGATGCTGGCTGGGGCTGGCTCCTCCTCACACTGACCCTGCCTTAGGCCAAAGTAGCGTAGTGGTTACTCCCGGGGCTGCGAACTGCAGGGACAGCAGTTCGAAACCACCAGCCACTCTGCGGGAGAAAGATGAGGCTTTCTGCTCCCCTAAAGTTACCATCTCTGAAGCCCACAATGATAGTTGTACCGTGTCTGATTGGGTCGCTGTGAGTTGGCATATATGTCCTTGATGGCAGTGGGGTTTTGGAGTACTATACAGAGGTCAGCCAGGAACCCTGAAGGCATGAAGCAGGCTGGGTGGGACAGTGGGGCCTGGGGAAGATGAATCAGCAGCCCTTGAGCTCTGTTTTGTTGATCCAGCATCACCATGGCTCTGATTTTCCAAGAGAGGCCAGCTAGACATCTGTGTTTTTTATGGGAGGGACCCTGATTTGCCCATGTTGGTAACTAACTGCACAGTGCCTGGGCCAAGGAAATCAGGCCAGATGCAGCTGTGGGCCGTTGATCTGTGACCTTGCCTTCGTGCCGTGAACATTGGGTGAGTAGCGAGGGTCAAGAAAGGGTGGTGGAGCAAGGAGGAGATGAGCTAACAGGAAGGACAGTGAGTTGTGGCCCAGTGGAGCCAGAGGGACCATCAAGCGTCAGAGAAGCGTCAGAGAAAGCCAGTCTTGAGCAGTGTGGCCGTGAAGGAAGCTGGAGGAGTCTCAGGAAAAGCCGTGGGATTTCTCTCCACCCCAGCCCACACTTACTGGAGACGTGTGCCACTCTTTCTGCCGAGTCTGTGTTGAGGGAAACATTTGCGAATATTGACAGAAAGCAGACCGTTTCAGGGTTGACAGTGGTAAGGAAAGAGCCTTTTCCATTTGGGCAGAAGCAGGAAGGATGAGGGTAAGGACAGAGGGATGTTGAGGTGTCTTGATCTCTAGGAGAGATATCTTGACCTCGATGCCAGCAAGGCAGATCATCCATCAAGAGTGTCTGAGGGTCCAGGCGTTCTCATTTCTTGCCCCTCTTCTCACCTACTTCTTTAGATTGATGTCTGTTCCCTATCTGAACGCACACCCCGTTTGTAATTGGCACCCAATTTTATATTCGCGTGTACTGTTCTCCCTACATGGTGGTATTGTCTTCTCACTGAGACACTAAGCTCCTTGAGGGCAGCACTTAGATATTTTCTTTCAGGCGCAAAGAGTAACTGGTTTCCTGTTTTACCCTCTCATCCACCCCTAGGGTGTCTGTGCAGATCAAGTCAAAGTTTCAGGTTATCATCGCTACCAAAGGGTGGAGATGAACGAGAATGCACTGGGTGAGCTCAAGAAGCTCTTTGATGCCAAATCCGAGCACCTCCACCAGACCCTGGCTCTGCATTCATACACGTCGGTGCTCTCGAGGCTACAAGTGGAGTCGTACATCTATGCGCTGCTGGATAGCTCGGCTCTTCTGAGATCGTTGGCAATTCATCAGCAAGGTGGAGGTGTGTAAGTAATGAAGGGCTCACTCCTTTTCACAATCTAAAATGAGGAAACAATATAGGGATGCAGTCTGGTTACAAAGACTGTCTGGGAAATGGTATACAAGGTACCATTGGTCTTTGCTATTTCCCAGTGGTGGGGTACACGTTGCACTACTAACTGCAAGGTCAGTAGTTTGAAACTACCAGTTGCTCTGCAGGAGAAAGATGAGGCTTTCTACTCCTATAAAGGCTTACTGTCTCAGAAACTCAAAAGGGCAGTTCTACCCTGTCCTGTGGGGTCGGTGTGTGTCCCGCTCTCGGCGCTCTCTCGGTTGGGGAGCAGGCTGTGCCAGTCTCCCTTTCCTGTGGACTGCCATGCTCTGTGTCTCTGGAGATGCAAAACTCTTGCTTTAAACGTCATTGATGCCCCTCCTTGTGGCCTTAGTTTATGTTACTTACAGAGTCTATATAGTTTCTCATTCTGAAACGAAGTCACAAAACCTTACACAGTTTGCTTTATGCTCATCTAGCTTGTTGGACTATTTTACTTAATTTTTAACTGAAGATCAAATAATCTGAGTTTTTCCATATGACTAGAGGTTTCAAAAAGGTAGCTTTCACTACAGAACGTGTTCAGGAGCCCTGGTAATGTAATTGGTTACATCTTGGGCTGCTAACCTGTTACCAGGTCAACTGCTTGAACCTACTAGCCACCTTCGGTGGGAGAAAGGGGAGGGTTTTTACTCCCGTGCAGATTGACAGCCTCACATCCCCACAGGGCAGTCACACCCTGCTTGGTAGGCTCCCTGTGAGCTGGAATCCCTGGATGTCAGTGACAGGTTGTACAAAAGCACTCACTCTACCCATTGAATGGTACAATTTGTTTTTTCCAGAAGAGAGATCAGGATTTTCAAAAGTTAAAAAATGTATCCCTTCTCCTCCCCCTGTCCCAGGTTTTTTAACTAACCAGAGACCTGGGTTAGCCACTGATCTGCTGATCTTCACATAGGATGAATTTAATTTAATTTTTTTTCCACATAGAATGAATTTTAAATGATATTTTATTTTACTTTTGTTGTTGCTTAGAGCGGCGGTTCTCAACCTGTGGGTCGTGACTCCTTTAGGGGTCGAACGACTGTTTCACAGTGGTTACCTGATTCATAACAGTAGCAAAATGACAGTTATGAAGCAGCAACGGAAATAATTTTATGGTTTGGGGGTCACCACGACATGAGGACAGTATTAAAGGGTCGTGGCATCAGCAAGGTTGAGAGCCACTGTCTTAGCGTCTGCACAGCAGGGCATACGCTGAACCCAGTACTCTGTGTGTGCACGTCGGTGAGGTGATGACATTGTTGGGGTATGCGGCCACTCTCCCCTCCTTTTTCCTCTTTTTCGAGTTGTTCCTCCTCGATGGACGCAGACTCATAGCTCCCAGAGGCTCCTGTCGAGTTTTTCTAGTTTCTGCTCCCATGTAGACAGTTCTTAAAGAGATCAGTCACCATGCTCCACCGTCGTTTTTCATTACTTAGGGGAGGCTGTTGTTTGTAAGACTGTTGTACTGTGAATTTTGATGAAGTTCATTTTCTCTTACTTTAAATTTCACAAAATTAAATTCTTTCTTGTATATTTAGTAGAAATTGAAACAATACTGTCATTACAACTTTTCTCCCATTGGGTGCTCTTCAGGAGAAAGGCTGGGTTTTCTCCTCCTGTAAAGAGTTAAGAGTTAAGAGCCTAAGAAACCCACAGGGGCAGTTCTACCTTGTCCTGTAGGGTCAGGGTTGAGTCACCTATGAGTTGGCATCGACTCCATGGCAGTGAGTACCTAGTTAGTAAGGTCAGTAGTTCGAAACCACCAGCGGGTCCATGGCAAAAAGATGAGGCTTGCTTTCTATTCCTGGAAAGAGTTACAGGCTGGGAAACCATGGAGTTCATTCTCCCCCAACCTGTAGTGTTGCTTTGAGTCAGAGCCGACTTGATGGCAGTGAGTTTGCCTTTTGGTTTTACCTCGTTAGACATTTTCCCTCCTCTCCCCCTTCCATCCTTGGTATCCATCAAAGGATGTTTCTATCCATGACCCTTGTCTTGACTTTTTATAATACACAACGTGTGTCCTTCTGAGACTAATTTCACGTAGCAGACATCCTCCAAGTTCGTCTGTGCTTCGAGTTGCGTGGTGGCTTTGTTGTTGTCAGTGTGCGACTGCTCCCCAGTGTGTGTGTTCATTCATCCACTCGGCGAGCCTGCGGCTTGCTTCCCCTTTCTGCTATTGTAACTAACATGGTGATGAACACGGGCGGGCATGTGTTTAAAACAGTCCAATTCTGGAGGCCTCGTTGAATCCTCTTCTCCATCCCAGCGTCTAAACAGACGGAGAGCATCCCCTCTGACCTGAGTCACCTCAAGGAGTGCATCAGTGTCCTGTTCACGTTCACCAGGAGGATTCACGAGGACACGCAGTTCCACGGCGATGTCCTGCTCTGGCTGCAGAAATTGGTAAGGGGACAGAGAGGCATGGCCTCACCTTCATGTCCCGGGACTGAAGGGAGTTGAGAATGAGCTCTGCTTTCACCATAGCTTTTTTCAGCAGCTTCTTTAGCTAATTCACCCGATGAGTTAAGTGAATGGCATTTTCTTTGATCATGACACATGCTAAGTGTTTTTTGCTCTTAAAATAAACCTTATGCTAAAATGACCCCTGGCCATTAGGAAGAAATGGGAATGGGAAGGAGACCAAGCTTAACATTAGATGTGCATCAGAATATAGAAGTTTGTTCAGAAATAGCCCCACACGTATTTTTCCCTTTTTATCCTCTTATGCTTAAGGAGCCCTGGTGGTGTAGTGGGGTGTATGTTGCACTGCTAACCGCTAGGTCAGCAGCTAAAGATGTAGTCTCCAAACTAGGATGCAAAGGGCATTTATAGAGATCTAAATACAGGCATGTACATATGTAAATGTATTTATATATCACGGTAGGGAAATAGGTGTATGTACATATGTACATGTGTTAAATATCAAGGTAGCAGACGGACATTGGGCCTCTACTCAAGTATTCCCTCAACGCAAGAATATCTTGTTCTAATAACCTGGCATTCCTTGATGCTTACCTTTCTGACAAGATCGCTGAAGACACAATGGGTGCATAGCAAATGTGGTGAAGAAAGCTGATGGTGCCCGGCTATCAAAAGATATAGTGTCTGGGATCTTAAAGGCTTGAAGACAAACAAGTGGCCATCTAGTTGAGAAGCAACAAAATCCACATGGAAGAAGCACACCAGCCTGTGTGACTATGAGGCGTTGATGGGATCAGGTATCAGGCATCAAAGACCCAGGAAAAAAAATCATATTAATGTGAATGAGGGGGAGGGCAGAGTAGAGATCCAAAGGCCATCTGTGGACAGTTGGACATTCCCTTACAGAGAGTCACAAGGAAGAGATGAATCAGTCAGGGTGCAGTATAGCACCGATGAAACATACAACTTTCATCTAGTTCTTTTAATGCTTTCTTCTACCCCCACCTCCCACTATCATGATCCCAAGTCTACCTTACAAATCCAGCTAGACCAGAGCATATACATGGGTACAGATAAAGAGCTGGAAACAGGGAATCCAGGACCAATAATGAGAGTAGTGATACCAGGAGGGTAAGAGGAAGGTGGGGGGAGAAAGGTGGAATTGATTACAATGATCTGCCTATAAGCCCCTCTCACGGGGATGGACAACAGAAAAGTGGGTGAAGGGAGACATCGGTCAGTGTAAGACATGAAAAAAAAATTAATAAATTATCCAGGGTTCATGAGGGAGGGGAAAAATTGAGCTGATACTAAGGGCTCAAGTAGGAAGAAAAAGTTTTGAAAATGCTGATAGCAACAAATGTACAAATGTGCTTGACACAGTGCATGTATGTATGGACTGTGATAAGAGCTGTAAAACCCCAATAAAATGATTAAAAAACCAAGATGTCTCCAGAACCCACTGGGCTGTTCTGCCCTGTTCTGTGGTTGCCGTGAGTCAGAACTGACCCAGCGGTGAGGAGTTTGAGTTTTGAGCTGATGTTTAATGTTGCACTTTAGTCAAAATTTTAAAAAAATGTTGTATTTTTTAAGCAGCAGAAGAAAAGCATTAAGATGTGAAAAATCCAGGAAAGGGTTCGTGTGCTCCAGAGGGGTGGACCTGTGCTTCCAGGTTTCAGGTCTCAGCAGAACTGCCTCCAGGGCTTTCCGGGGTTCCCTTCAGCGTTCTTAATAAGAGGTTTTGCTTCAATACACCGATTGGGGTTTGAGAGGCTGTTGAGAATATATTTGCTTATTTCCCGTTACATACCTGTTCACATGAGAGCAGTTCATTTGTCAGACAGTGAAATCTGAATTTGCTTAGAAACAGCTGAAGCAGTTTTTACCTTGGCACACATGGATCATCAGCCACACTGCCCCTGTGTGGTCAGAAGGCAGCTCATTCCGTCCCATCACCACACATCCTGTGTGTGACCGGTCTTTGAGAGGTTACCGCAGGTGTGTTCAGACACTGGCTGAGTGACTTTCCTGGCGCTGCCCACGGTAAGTTGCCCTCCTTTTTAAATAGCGAAATCGCCCGTGTGTCCTTTGTTGTTCAGGTAGCAGTGTTACAGCGAGCCGGCTCTCCTGGAGACCACCTCTTCCTCCTGAACCACATCCTGCGATGCCCGGCTGGCGTCAGCAAGTGGGCGGTTCCTTTCATCCAGGTGTGTCATCGGTCTGATGCCAGGGAGGTGGGGGCGCGGGGAGGATGTCTCCTTAGATGCTTTCCCTGAAGAAATTTCCCTCCTTCCCACCTAAAAGGGATTTCTTAAAAGGACAGACATTTTAAATTAAAAGACCTAAAATGCATCTCTTGCCTACTCATTAGTGTTTTCATGCGGCTAGCCTTGGGACCACCCACTGTTGATGAAGTAGTGAGCCAGTGCAGACGCTCAGTGGTGGCTGGCTTGACAGCATAGCCGTAGTTCATTGTGTTACATTCCTGTGCAGGGAGGTTCACCAGCACAGCTTCCTAAATGAATCCCTTCCACCCCACAGGGAGGCCAGGTTAAACAGACCGAAGCTTGTTAAATGGTAGCAGGGCTTGGTGTGCGTGGTCCACTCTCATCTAGCTCAGCGTGGGCTACCCGACCCTAGCAACCAGACATTTGCCCATATCAACCAGCCAAGTTCAACCTCTTTATATTTCCTTGTCCAAAAAATATTTCTGGTGGCAAAAGTTTTGAGACTTTTTAGGTAGATAAAAGGATTTTTTTCCCCTTTTGGTCACCTTTTTCTCTTTGGATTAAATGAGCGGCATTGTTCTTTGTTACAGGTCGTTGGTGGAACCTGGCCAGTTACCTGTACTCTCTGAGACAGCTGAGTCAGTGCTGCCAGCTGACCAGGAGCTGTGGCCTCACACTTGGGGGTTACGTGCCAGCTCCACTTTTTGGTTCCTTTTCCACCTGCTTTTGTTGTCACGCTAGGGACCGAGGGTTATGGATACTTGAGTTGTTGGCCTTCTCCAACCTGCTTTTTCCTTTGCTGGTTTCAGATCAAAGTGTTGAATAACCCATCAGGAGTCTTTCACTTTATGCAGTCCCTAGCCCTGCTGATGTCTCCTGTCAAGTAAGTGTGGAAGGGCTCTGTAAATGCCTCTTCTTCTCAGAGATGGGCTTCCTACACTGCCCAGACCCAAAGAACCATCAGCATTCCAGAATTTGATTTGTCAAAGTTTGGATGGTTTGGGACCCCTCCTTTCGAAGCACCCATTCTAACGGCTTTTTTATTTGGGTTGTATAAATGATGAGAGCCTTTCTTGGCCCCGCTGTGAGTATTTATACAGTCAGACTTCTCCTCCTGTCACAGAGGCTACTGTGAAAGGTGTTACGAAGACACAAAAGTAGGAGTTCTCCCATAGAAGAAGAGATTTAATGGCAAAGTGGTCGGAGAGGTTAATGTGCTAAATTGGCAAGTTACCATTGGTGCAGTAGAAGTGAAGGCCACAAAGCACAGGCGGCTCCACCCTAGATGAGCCAGGTATTTGAAGAGGCACAGCCTGGGCTGGTTCAGTCCAAGAGGACTTGGAGGGGCGTGGTATTAGCAAAGAGCCAGACTTGGTGTGAGGACAGCTCTGAAGGGGCCAGGGGAGATCGGCTTGGCTGGAATGAGGGGCTTTTCTCTTGGCCTGGAGTGCATCTGCGGGGGTGCACGACCGTGGGGAAATGTATTTTTACATGAGGTCCTGCCAGAGTCAAAAACACAGCGGGGTTTTCAGTACACCACACATTTCTCTTACTCAGGCTTTACGACACCCTTCCAGAACATGTGCCCCTGCACAGTTGAGCGATTACAGGCGTCTGACTCCGGAACCTAGCCCAGCACCAAGAGAGAAAGCTGGGTTTGTGCTTGCTCCCCCGTAATAGTGTCACTGCCTCTAACTTTAAGGGCCTGGAAAGCCTGTCTCTTCTCCACAATTGAATTGGGGTAATGGCCATGCAGAGGAGAATGAGGGGATCCTAAAGGCCATCCCTTTTCTCTGGAAAGGATTGGGGAGCGTACTAAAGATGGAGAATGCCTACCTCTAGATTCTCAGGTCGGAGAGGACGGTAGCAGTCCTAAGACATGGCAGTGCAAAGGAGAGCTGTTTAGTGGGGAGACCCATGAGGTCATTGATGCATACGAGGAGACCCACGGCACGTGCCAGCGGACTTGTCAAGCGTGGCGCTCACTTGAAAGAACCACACTCAAACTGGAGCTGGGAGTCCTCACTGGAGGTCCAGGTTAAAGGCAGGAAGAGGTGACCATTCAGGGCCAGCAGAGAGGGAGGGACAGAGGACAGGGAACTGCGCTGCTACCAAAGGAGAAACTTCTGGTTACACTTACTCGTCAGATCCAACCAACACGTTCTGACTGCCGGGGATCAGGTGGTAGGAGACAATTGCTGCCTGTGGTAGAGTCCATTGGGCTCAGAATGCTTTTGCACCTAGGTGTAGTTTTTTCTTTTTGCTTCAAGCAAGCCTCTGCATTATTTGCAGAATGCCCCCCTTGAAAAACATCCAGTAAGTTGTATTTGTCACGTCGGTGGCCGGGCCGGGCTGAGGATGTGCTGCAGTTTGTGTGGATCACGGCCCTCCGGTGGCCCCGCTGTCTGCCCAGGGGAACTGCTTTTTCTGAGATAATGAATCGCCACTGACCCAGAGTGATCGTGATCTTGCCACTGAAATGCGGGCCTGGGTCCTGGATGATTCTTGTAGCCGCTCCTTATTTTTTGTGCTAATTTAAGGTGGGGTCTAATTTGGAGGTGGGGTCTGAAGATGAGGCCACTGATGGTTTTGTCCATACGGTCAGGGCGAGATGATCGGGAACGCTCCCCTGTGGGCCTTTCCGTGTTTCCTGACTGGAGCTCTTCCTCTTGTCCTTCAGAAATCGGGCAGAGTTCATGTGCCACATGAGACCCAGTGAGTGGAACTCGTCCTCCTTGGGGCCAGCGTCGGGGACCTGGACTCTAGTGGATGAGGGCAGCGAAGAGGTAACTGTGCTGTCTGCTATTTAAAAAAATAGTTTTACTGGCATATAATCCACACATCATACAATTAAACCATTCCGTCATTAAGAAGAGTTGTGTGATCACCACCACATCAATTTCAGAACATTTTCTTCTCATACTCATTGTTGTTACTCCTTATTAACTCCCACCCCACCTCCCCTAAACCCCACTTCCCAGTGGGAGAAATGCCGAAGAGCTTGAGGCCATGTTTTAGAAATGCCATGTGGGATTCTTTCGTATGAAAGAACACAGAGTAAATGTACAGCGTTGCCAGGTAGCGTCTAACAGACGAAAGGGTGGTACTTAAACGAAGTATTTTCCTGCCACGGACACTCAGAGAACTTTCCGAAGAACAGTGAGCAGCATGGAACCATGGCATGCAGACAGCGGTGCATAAGCTAGCAAACATTCCTGGAACTTGATCCGGAAACAGTATCCACTTGAATGAGCTCAGAGTGCCCTTTGGATGGGATTTCAGTTTTCAGATTTGCCTGTGAGTTCTATTCGCAGGTTCTGAGCTCTCCTTAGGTGCTGATGTCCTTCCAAGGACCTTCCGCAAAGACGTTACTTCACTGAGCCTTCGCAACAGGCCCCTGAGTTCTAGGTAGACTTGCCCCCTTGTTGATAGAAGAGGAGACCAGTGAGGGAAGTGCAGTCACTTGTCATTGACTCGCATGGTCACCACGTGGCGGAGCCTCCAGGGCCCTTGCTCTGAGCCGGTGTGCTCTGCTGCTCTGCTCCACCCTTCTGTTCATCTGGGAGGGTTAGAACCGGGAAACTGAATGTAGCCACTTCATGCACATTTTCCATCAGGTGCAGTTGCCATTATGTACGGTTTGCATTTAGGATTTTCTTGGACGTATTAACCCATTTCCAGGGTGAGGGGCTACAAATAATGAAGAGCTGGCATTCACCAAGGTTCTGCTTAGAACCCCAAACAAACATCTCCAGATCTTTTTCATTTGAAGATGGCTCTCCATTGGATGAGCATTTCGTGCCCACAAGCCAGTCTCTTGGGTTCAGAACAGTCCGAATGTTTCTGTCGTGCTTGTGGGTAATGTACGACATCTCCTCCCATTAACTAGCGCTCTCGTGTGCCGCAGCTTTGTGGTCAGCAGTCCATCGCGCACCCAACTGCGCCGCCAGGGCAGATGCTAATGGGTTCCTGAGAATTCTTGTGGGTATGAGAATAGGTCTTGATTTGGGGAGAAGAGAATTGGAACTAAAATAACTTGGTTGGCACTTAATAAATGAGGATTTTATAGCAAGATCACTGCTCTAGAGGGATTTGTAATTGGGGTCTCCTACAGATCTTATGACATCCCATACATCAATTGTATCAAGCATATTTGTACATATATTGCCATTATCATTTTCTAAACATTTACTTTCTATTTGAGCCCTTGGTATCAGCTCCTCTTGTTTTCCCCTCCCCTCTACCCTTGTGACCCCTTGACAAATTATACATTATTATTATTTTCATGTCTTACACTGACTGCTGTCTCCCTTTACCCACATTTTTGTTGTTCATCCCGTCGGATGGGGGTAGGGGAATGCTTTAATGACCTTATTCGGGATGGAAATTTAAGAACCATTTCAACTACTGAAGGGTAGATATGACCCAGATACACATAACATTATATTTCAGTTTTAACGATGAAACATACAACTTTCCTCTAGTTCCTAAGTGCTTCCTCCTCCTACCTCCCCACCCCCCCAACTATCATGATCCCAGTTCTACCTTACAAATCTGGCTAGACCAGAGGATGTACACTGGTACAGATAGGAACTGGAAACACATAATCAGGACAGATGATCCCTTCAGGACCAGTGCCGAGAGTGGTGATATCGGGAGGGTGGGGTGGAAAGGGGGAACCAATTACAAAGATCTACATACAACCTGCTCCCTGGGGGACAGACAACAGAAAAGTGGGTGAAGGGAGACGTCGGACAGTATAAGATATGATAAAGTAACAATTTATAAATTATCAAGGGATGAGGATGGGGGTAGAGGGGAGGGAGATGGGGAAAAATGATCTGATGCCAAGGGCTTAAGTGGAGAGCAAATGTTTTGAGAATGATGAGGGCAATAAATGTCCAAATGTGCTTTACACAAGTGATGCACGTATGGATTGTGATAAGAGTTGTATGAGCCCCTAATAAAATGATTAAGAAAACCCATTATATTTAAATTTTAAGGGGATTTGTCGTACATTTGTGGAACTGAGACTGGCTCTGTCTTGGAGGAAAAGTGCACAGTTTCCCTGTGAGAATCCCACATGGGCACCATGCACATAATATAGCTATTGTCACCCTAGGTCCGAAACTTATTTGTCCTGCCACCACTTTTCAGGAAAACAAAGTGTGCCCCGCTAGTAATTTGTACTATAGCCCTGAAGGAGCCCTAGTGGTGTAGTGGTTAGTGATTAGGCTGTTAACCGCAAGGTCACCAGTTCTAAACCAGCAGCTGCTCCTTGGGAGAAAGATGAGGCTTTCTACTCCTGTAAAAGGTTACTTCTGGAAATCCACAGAGGCAGTCCTTCCCCCGTCCTCCTGTGGGGTCGCTATGAGTCAGGACTCGCTGGCAGTGAGAACCCATCAACCATGATAAAGTGTAGGCATCTGCTCTTGGGGCCCACCGTACTGTTCCAGTGCCTGCCAGGGGGTGGTATTGCCTGTTTTGGGAAACCTGCTCTAGACCCTGGAGTGATCTGCCCGCTTAGCTGACATGAGTGTGCTGCTTTGCCCATAGGATGAAGACCCCGAGACCAGTTGGATTCTCCTTAGTGAAGACGACTTGGTTACCCTCTTCTCACAGTTACCCTTTCAGGAGCTCTTTCAGCATCTTCTCGGCTTCAAGTCAAAAGGTAGGGGAATGTTTTCTGTCATTGGTGAAGCGGCAAGCCTACGGACATGTGCGGGCTCCTGACTCATGGTCCCCTCTGCCCCGCTCTGCTGCAGAGACATGATTGCACCACCTTGATGTTTCCTTCCTTTCTCTTGTGGCTGACATTTCCTGCTTGGTGGTTAAGTTCAAGAAGGCCAACTAGCTTGCACCATTGCCCAACTTCAATGAGTTATTTGAGTTTTGTACTTTGTTGCAAGTTTCCCATTTCACCTTGATAGAGAAGTAAAAAAGAGCTTATCCCCCCACCCCCCTACAAACTTTTTATTGTGAATTGGTTGAAGGTTTACAGAGCTCATCAGTTTTCCATTCAGCATGTCATACATGTTTGTTTCATGTCGTTGATTGCAACCCCCACCTGTAACATCACTTACCTCACTTCCTTCTGTTCCCAGTCCTCCTCCTTTCCTTCTTCCTAACCCTTCTGAACTTTGATCTTGGTTACATGCTGTCCTTTTGATCCTAACCGATCGACCATTCTAAGGAGTAGATGTCTCCCTAGCTTTATTGCTTCCCATTTAGATCTGTCCACTGTTTGGCCAAATACCTACGACCAAACCTAGATGTTTTTGTTGAGCCTCCGGCTGAAGTCGGTTCCAGGCCAGGAGGGGATTGTTACTGCTCATCCACTGGTTTGGCTTCCTCGTCGTCGTAGTATGTATAGCTGTAGCCTTCAGTGTTTGTCCAGAGTAATGATACGTTTTTTTTCCTCCTGTTTGATTAACTTCTAGGTGATTATGTACCTGAAAAGACAAGACCTCAAGAGATGATGAAAATGTTTGCCTTTGCCAACTCATTAGTGGAACTCCTGGCTGTGGGGTTAGAGACCTTTAACAGGGCCCGTTACAGGCAGTTTGTGAAACGCATTGGCTATATGATCAGGTAATCCTGCCATCGCTACATCCATCATCCTCGTTTGGCCCCAGTACTGTTCAACTGGAGTTACAGAATTTAGTGTTGTACTTTATGTCTCTCTTTACCCTGCTAGAAAAGTAAGAATTCTTGTTTTTCTCAGTGTTTTCAGCCAAGATACTGGGTTAATTATCTCAAATTGAAGTGTGCTGTTAGGTAGCTGTGCTTGGAGTTCATCAAGGGCCTCAAGAGGGCTGTGGGGTGGAACAGGAAAGAGCAGGGGTCAGTGGGAATGTGCTCCTGCCCTTTGCTCTCTCTACTCTCTTCTCTCTGAGCTCTTGCCTTGGCACTGTGACTTGGCTGTGCCAAATCGGCAACCGCTTATTTGGTCTTTGCTTCTCTTTCACTTTTTCATTTGGGAAAAAAAAAATTAATAGACTTACCAATTGGTGGCCACGATCTTACACTGGGACAGCCCTGTCGTTTATTGGAGTGGACAGTGTGTTTCCATTTTTGTTATACAGTGTCTGAGTAAATATGAGGGGGCTTCAGAAAGTTCATGAACACCTTTATTACGTTTTTGGCTTTTTAAAAAATTAATAATTTTATTGGGGGAGCTCTTGAAAATCTTATCACAATCCATCATTTAGTTGCATTAAGCACACTTGTACATATGTTGCCATCAACAGTTCCAAAACATTTTCTTTCTACTTGAGCCCTTGGTATCAGCTCCTCTTTTACCCCTTCCTTCTCCCACCCTTGTGAATCCTTGATTAATTATGTTATTATTGTTATTCAATTGTGTTTTAATTCCATTTTTCTATGAACTTTTGGAAGCCCTCTCATATATAGTCTTCCTTAAAAAAAAGAAAAACCAAAAACTTTGTGTGAATTGGGTGGTTTATAGAGCAGATCCACACTGCTTTTGTTTGAATGAATTTTCTAGCATTATTTATGCATTATCAGTATTTCTGTGCTTATTGGGTCATTGTTATGTCATTGTAGCATATAAATATGCTATTTTTAAAAATCCAGAGCAAAACACTTCCCCCTTCTAGATTTCCGCCAGCAAAATTAAAGGTCTTTTTCCCATACTAAGTAGACTTGAATTCACTTTAAATGATAAGCCCATCCACTTTAGAAAGTCTCGTCACGATTACAGGACGCCCTGTGAGGCTGGGGGCTGGGGCAAGGTCCCCTTTCTCGAGGGCTAGAGAGTCTCGTCTGTAGAGAGGAAGGATAGATCAGATGGGAGGAGGGATGGCTGGCAACTTGGAGAGTTAGTTTCTTAAAAGGGGGAAAGCTTATCTGCCTGTTATCTAGATGGTGGTTTTCTGCTTCTGCTTGCTCAAGGAAGGCTGTAAATGCACCCTGCCCTTGGCCAGCAGACAGATTGAGGATTGTGTGCTTCCTGTGCACCAGGGCCACGCCTTCTGGGTTTCTTCTTTGAGTAACCCTTTAGGAACTATACCTGGTCCTCTTCCTGTTTGCAGCTGAGCATTCAGCCTGTGCTTGACTAATTCCCTGTAATACTCATAGTTGAGTATGCTAGCAGGCTGTGATGGAAATTCCTTTCTTTGGTTTCTCTCACATGCTTGCTGTTAGGGGATCAGTTCTAGATGCTTCCCATGCCCTCCCTTGTGGGTCAAAGCCTCTCACTTCAGGTCATCTGTGGGTTCCGTTTCTCACTCACGATCCTCAGGCTTCTCCCTCCAGCACTACCCAGGAGGCCCTCGTGAATGCTGCTCATGCGCTTTGCGCTCCTCCATCCAGCAGTTAGCGCTAAATCTGTCTCCCACCTGGCATCGTTCATGTAGTTAACATAACGCCTTTCACACAGCTCATCGGTTTCTTTCTTCATTTTGTTTTTTTTAACCTTATTATTATGATCTAGGTGAAAGTTCACACCACAAATTGGTCTCCCATTCAACAAGCCATGCATACATTGTTCCTTGACATGGCTGCTGTCCACTCAGTGTGTTGGCCCTCCACCCATGTCCACCCCGGCTTTTGGTTTCCATCCCTCTAGTTTCCTGGCCCCCTTGCCCACTCTTTGCTTCTGGGCAAATGTTGCCCAAACAAGAGTTGATTATTCAAAGCAGCACATTTCTCCCTGGTATTATTTTATAGGCCAGTCCATTATTTGGTTCTGGGATAAACGGGTCAAACAGTGATCTCGGGGAGCACTCTGGTTTCTCTGCCATTCCATTGAGTCTAGTTTTTTTATTTTTATGGAGTTGAATTCTGCTTTACATTTTTCTCCCATTCTAAGTGGGACCACCTTCGATTGCATCTCTTGAATGCACTGTTAGGTGCTACTAAGAAAGAGAAAGATGGCCTGTCACCGGTTTAAACATACCCTCATTGCTCGAGATGAGCAAGTGTGAAAGACGTGTGTCTTTTCGCGCCAATGACCCAGCTGTTTCTCGAATCCAGCGTCTGTCATCACCTCCACTGCTTCACTGGAGTCATGTCTCACCTGAATGTCACAGGGGCCCCTGAACTTGCCTTCCTGCTTCTACCCTGGGCCGCCCCCCCCCCCCCCCCCCCCAGTGTTTGCTCACAAGAGCTGGAGTGCTCCTTCAAATGGTGAGCCAGCTCACGTCACTCATGCTGAGTCCCGTAGAAAAGCCAGGTCCCTCCCAGTGGCTGACAGAGCCCTGTCTGAGCAGGCGCCCTGTCTCATTGACTGCTGTTTCTGGAACATGCCAAACAGACCCAGGCGCCTTTTATGGACTGCTCACTACTAACTGCAAACGCCACGAGAGTGGGGTTGGTAGATTTGAATTTTGTATCACAGCATTCCCTTCAGAACCTGGAAGACACCGAGTGCTCAGTCAGTGTATGTCGAATCATTCCCGGCTTCCAGTATCATCGCGGAGGCACTAACGCTGAGTGAGCCCGTGTAAGTGATGCCTTGCCTGTCTTCATCCTCAGGATGACCCTCGGTTATGTCAGTGACCATTGGGCGCAGTATGTGAACCACAATCAAGGCTTGGGATTGGCCCTGCAGCCCTACTCCCTGGAGAAACTACAGGTTGAGTTTGATGAGCTGTTTTTGAGGGCTGTTCTCCATGTGCTAAAAGCCAAAAGGTAAGTATGATGCTAATTTCTGAGAAATAGCTCCCTGGCTACTGAGAAAGATTGCTGTGAAAGTAATTCACGGACTGAAGTAGATATAGTTTAATAGTGTCATCTTATTTTGCACCCATTTCTTAACTTGGACAAATTCTTGTGCCCTAGTTTCCTTACCTGTCATATATCTCTTGCTGACTGAAATTATTTTTCTTTTAGGCGTGTCAGTCTGGGTAGAATAGAGAAACAAATTCATAGACACTCATGTGTATAAGACAGAGCTTTATCTATACGAGCAATTGAATATTGAGAAAACATCCCAGTCCAGTGCAGATCAAGTCCATGAGTCCGATATTGTCTGATACCAATCTATAAATTCCTCTTCAGACTCATGCAACGCATGCAATGTCAAATGCAGGATGATCATAGTCCAGTGGGTGGAAAGTCTTGTGGATCCTGTGGCAGTGGAACATCTCAGTGCTGGCAGGGGTCTCCGCGTGGCTCCTCCAGCTCTGAGGCTCTAGCGTAGCTCCATGGGTCTTGACAGAAATGTCTTGCAGGGAGTGTATCTGCGTCCTGCCTCCAGCGAGCTATTTATTTCCATGGCACCAAAGGAGGTCATCAAGCTGTAACCTAATTGACAGGCTAGACTCCACCCCTGCACAAATTGACACCAGATTATGTAACTACCACAGGCTTCTTTCCATCTTAAAATGCCTGCATTTTGATGTCTCAGTTTTTCCACTCCTGAACTCTTAGGACAGCCGTGAGCAAGGGAAACAAGGATTAATTCTGTTATACATCCAATTGTATCCCCACCAAACCCACTGCCACCACGTCGATTTTGACCCTTCGCGACCCTAGAGGGTTTCTGAAACTAAACCTTGATGGGAGCGGACAGCCTCATCTTTCCTGTATGAGCAGCTGGCGGGCTTGGAATAATGGCCTGTGGTCAGCAGTCCTTTGCCTAACCTATATTTCCACCAGTGACCTTTACACAGCCAGCTGTCGTGCCTATAGAACAACCCAGCAGGGCGCTTTGCTGTCAGGCTGCTCTGGCTCATAGTGACCCATAAGATAAAGTAGGACTGCCGTGTAGTGTCCGGAGGCTGTAAACCCACCTCTACAGACGCTGACAACCCCAGCTTTCTCCTGAGGAATAGCTGGTGGGCTCGAACCACTAATCTGCTTAACAACCATGTGCTTAAGCACTGTGCCACCAGGCTCCTTTAATGTGCCTTCCGTCAGGCAAACTAGGTGCCTCGTATTGGCACACACAATCTGCTGATTGTAGTTTTCGTGCTGTGTTACTGTAGGATTTTAGGGTTTAGGACTGTTAATAGACTCTGGTCCTCCGTCTCGACACACACACCATCTCTTCTATTCGCATGTGAGGTGCTTATGGCAGGAGCGTGTTACAGAAATGGCTGTCCTGTGATTTAAGAGCTTGCTCTGTTCTCTCAGAGCTGAAAGTCTGTGTACTGCCTTGGTGTGCTCTCGCTGACTGATGCATCAAACTATCCCTGTTCTTTTTCAAAACCTGCAGACTTGGCATCTGGCTGTTTATGTCTGAGATGCCCTTTGGGACCCTGTCCGTCCCCATGCTGTGGAAGCTCTTCTACCTCATGCACCAGGCGGGCTGTGGGAGCCTGGAGAAGCTCAGTGCCACCCTCGCGACGGCCCAGTGCAAGACGTGGCTCCAAGGTACAGCGGGCCCTCCGTGACTGCGTCCGTCCGGCTCTGGGAGGGTGGACCCTGTTGCTCTTGCGTAAAGACTGACGTGGACAGGCTGCTCTTAGTTGTTTTGTTCAAACCCAACGTCAGTGAGTCCCCAGAAGACACTAGTCTAGCTTTTCGGAAGTGCCCTGTGGAAACCACCCTATTTTTACAGTGTGATCCTTAACAAATAGGGTCCAATTGACTTCTAGAAAGTTGTTTGGCTTTTGTCCCCAGTCATTCCCATAATTAAAAAAACAAAACCTCAACCTTTTTGACTGTGAACTCAGTGAAGGTTCACAGAGCACACCATCACTTTGCCTCAGAACCAACACTGACCCAGTGCCTGGCCCGGCTTCCATCATTTCCACACACCCCGCGCCATTCCCCTCTGGTTGAATCTTGTTGCCCCCTTCATCCAAATGATCTCTTAGAGCTGTTTTAAAATTACATTATTTGAATAAATTAGGTAAAGTTATAGGCAGATGTACTTAAAAAAAATAATTTGGCTGAAAACTCGGTGTGATTTGATGTTCTACCACCACCCCTCAGCTACAGAGCATTGATTTGTTTGGATTAAAATGATTTTTAAAAAACCTATGTATAGTAGGGAAAGTGGGGTGGAAAGGGGGAACCAGATTACATGGATCTACATATAACCTCCTCCCTGGGGGATGGACAACAGAAAAGTGGGTGAAGGGAGACGTCGGACAGTGTAAGATATGACAAAATAATAATTTATAAATTATCAAGGGTTCATGAGGGAGGGGGGAGCAGGGAGGGAGGGGAAAAATGAGCTGATGCCAGGGGCTTAAGTGGAGAGCAAATGTTTTGAGAATGATGAGGGCAATGAATGTACAAAGGTGCTTTGTATGGCTTGTGATAAGAGTTGTATGTATGTATAAGGATGTATGGCTTGTGATAAGAGTTGTATGTAAGTATAAGGACGTATGGCTTGTGATAAGAGTTGTATGAGACCCCAATAAAATGGTTTTTAAAAAAAGAATAAACCCACCTATGTATAATTGGATGCCTGCTAGCAGTATTTTTCAGACTAACCCATACATTTTAAAAAAGGGGGGGCGGGTAAGAAACTGGGTAGAAAAACTTGAATCTTGTAAGATTTACAAAGTATCAAGGGGAAATTTTTTTTTTTCTCTTTAGGTTGATATTTTCTGTCCCCTTGACTTTGTCATTTTAAAGCTTTTGCCATCCCTTCTTGACCCTAATTGGCCATGTTAAAAAAGCTAATTAGGAAATTCTTTCTCTTTCTGTAGATGTGTGTGTGTGTGTGTGTGTGTGTGTGTTTTCCCTATACCTTGAAGCATTGTAACTTAGAACAGTAGCCCCAGTTTTCCATATCCTGGGAATGCCCTGTCCTAGCCTCTCACAAACCTAGTTTGGGGATGGGAAATACAGATTGGTAAGGGCCACATGGAGTTATGTTAAAAACAGAAGGAATTTGATGCACTGCTGCTGACTTCTCGTTTGTATACGTGCAAAACGAATTGTGGACTCATTGCCTTTTCAGTGCCCAAAGTTACATCGGAAGAATCCCCCCCCCCAAAACTTACCTCCCTTGTTACACTTGACTTTTGCAACCTCTGGGTTTCTGCCCTGTAATGCAATGTTTGCTCACACTGCCCCCTAGTGACACAGTAGAAATATCGCGGGCACAGGCAATCCGAACCCACTGCTGTCGAGTTGATTCCCACTCGTGACCTCTGCAGAGGACAGAGTAGATGGCCTCGTAGGAGTCCCCAGGCTGTAGTCGTTATGGAGCAGCTCTGCCTGCAGAGCCACGTGTGGTTTTGAACACCCAACCATTTGGTTAGCAGCGAGTGCTTAACCATTGCGCTGCCCTACTGTTTTTATCACATGCGCCTTACTGGTTTTATGTCAGCTGTGGCTTTAGTTGTCAGTCCCTGCCCCATTCTGTCTTGTGGTAAATGCCAGGTCTGTGCCGAGTAGTTAGCTAGTTGGAGTTATACTCAGTAGGGTCTTCATTGGTTTGACTGACAGGCGTCAAGGAGCTTCAGTGTGCCTGGCTCTGGCAGTAGTACGGACTTCGAAGGCGTCTCACCTAATGATGCTGATTGATAAGCCCTGGTGAGATAGTAGTTCCAACCCACCAGCCATTTCGAGGCTTTCTCTTTCAGCCCTGAGGAGCCCTGGTGGCGTAGTGGTTACCATAGCATTGTACTTCAGTCCTCATGGTCGGTAGTTGGAAACCACCAGCAGCTCCGCAGGAGAAAGACTGGGCTCGGAAACCCACAGAGGAGGGCTACGAGTCAACATGGACTTGCTGGCAGCCAGTTTAAGGGACCCACAGGGCCAGTTCTGCTGTCTGACTGGGTCACACGAGACGGAGGGACCTGATGGCTGTGAGCTGAAAGACTCAGAGGCCGTCTCGTCCAGCCTCCTTCCTGAGGCCAGTGGAAATCCATTTTGTATAACATTGAGAGCTTTTGTATCTTTTTAAGCATTTATTTAAAACATTACACCTCTTCCCCATTTGGTAGAGTAATTTAAACTGATGCAAGTGCATTCTCTTCCCTCCCTCATTACTTCTGGATCCGACCCCGCAGATCCAGAGCATTTTGTGAACTTTGAGAAGTGTCTGTCTTCCATGAACAGCTCGGAAGAGATTTGCCTTCTGACGACGTTTGCTCAGATGGCTCAGGCCAGAAGGACCGACGTGGATGAAGACTTCATAAAGATCATTGTTCTGGAGATATACGAGGTTAGAATGTTCGGTTTCAGAAAGAAGCAAAACATGCTGCTTTGGGGTTGTTTACTCGTTGACTCTTTTGAAATTGCTTTTAAAAAAGTATAACTACCTAGCTCTTGATGGTGTATATGGGAGGGGATAAAGAACCAAAAAGAACACCATTTTGCTAGAGGGAACATTAAAAAAGTGAATTGTCCCTCAACTATCTTTATTTTTAATGTAAAAAAACATTTTTAAAATTGTGGTGGGGGTGAAAGTTAATAGAGCAAATTAGGTTTCTATCCAACCATTTATACACATTTTGTTTCATAATGTTAATTGAAATTCCTCCCTGGGCTTCCCTTCCCGCCGTCTGCTCTTTGTTGAGGGCAGTGCTGCCCTTTGGGCCCCTGTGACTGCTTACTCTGAGGAGGATGTTGTTCTTGTCTGGGCTGTCTGTCGTTTACCTGAAAGGTGATGCTCTGGGGTTGAGTTCCCTTCCAGATTCGAAGGGTGTCTAAGGGTAGGTCGGGGGTTCCGCCGGTCTCTAGCAGACCAGTGAGTCCCGTCTTTCCTATGATGTTGTATTTTGCTCTGCTTCCCCCCTCCATTCTTTCCAGAACCCTCTGTGGTCCAGAGCAGAGCAGTGTCACCACGCACAGTCTCAGCGTCATGGAGGCTGGTGTTCACGTGTCCCCTGTCCCCATACGGGTCTTTGCTCATCTTTCCTCCAGACTAGGGGAGACTGAGAGTTGGTGTCTTTGATGGCCGCTTGCCAGCTTTGAAGACCCCAGGGGCAATTCACCACAGTAGGGTATAGAATGTCTTTGTGAACGCTGACTTAGCTGTCCCCTAAGACTGTAGCCCTAAATTCCCAAGCCCCCAAATGGCTCATTACCACAAGGAATTGGTTTTGGCGGAGGGGTGTTTTCGTGACTGTCCTGTTTGTTTTTGCTCTGCTATATGCATGGATGTATTTCTAGCACGTGCAAATATGTATGCAGACAAAGGCTCTCTAACCTTGTCTGTGGTTGTGCTCCTGGTTCCATTCGCCAACCCAGTCCCCTACTGTCTCCTGACATGCGATGGTTGAGTTGTGAGGCACAGACAACCTGGCCCCAACCAGCTCTTTGTAGTTTCTATATTGTTTCCACCCACCCCCGCCCTGGCTCAGTCTTCACCTTTCTACCACTCTAGCTTTGTGGAAACCTGACTTCAAAGCCAAGTGATAGAAAATTCTGGAAAAATTTTAAACCCTGCCATTAATTGCCCATCTTAGAAAAGACACGTTGCCATTCACTGTGGGCTTTTTATTTCGAAAATGACAGACTGGCGTGAAGTCACTGCTTCCTTCACTTCCTTTTGAGCCATTCCTCATGGAGGAGACCCCGAGGATCTTGGGACATGACCCAAAGTGACACCAAAACAACAAAGAGTCCTGTGTGCGTTAGAAAGCGTACGTGTCCATCTACACGCTAGGCTGGTGTGCATCGGCTTATTTAATGAAGAGTTCCTTCAGACTGCCCATGTAAACTCAAGCCAAATTATCTCCCAAGAAGATTCCTGGAATTTGCTATCTTACCCCACTATCTTAGTCCACCAGCAGGAAAATGCCAGGACTGGGTGGTCTGAAGCCCTTTCCAGGGTCGTGCTCTACTAAGCTGTTCGCACACATGTACTTTGTAACCCGGCACGAGGTGGAGGCCCAGGTGGAAATGGAGAAATGAGTTTCTACTGATTATTGGCATTCAAAGTATTCCCCCCACCCCCTTCCGGCCTTTCAGGTGTCTTACATCTCCCTGTCCACCAGAGAGACGTTTTCCAAGGTGGGCCGCGAGCTTTTAGCAGGCATCACAGCTGTTCACCCCGAGATCATTTCTGTCATTTTGGATAGAGTTCGAGAGACCATTGACCAGGTTGGAATGGTAAGAACCTTGCCTTCTTTGGTGGTGGTGGTTTTTAAAAATCCTGAAGTAATGGAACGATGGGGACCGTGGGAAGGTTGTTGGGCATGACTGATCCCTGAAGGTCCAGCGGGGCGAACTTCACTCACGAGCATTGTGCTGCCCAGCCTGCCTGCTGGCAGTGAGTTGCTGCTTTTAAAAAGGTGTGGATCGTTTGGCTTACGTCTCCTCCTATGGACTCGCTGACTCGAGTAGTGCTCTTGACTGGCTCTCATACTTCTTGTGTTCTACACCAGGAAGAAGCAACTCCCGTTAGAAAAGGTGGCCTTAGTTAACTCATTAAAAATGCAAAATTACAAGTAGTCATGTAGGTAGGTAGAGCCAGCCACAGACATCATTTATTCCTGCAGTTGGTCATAACCGTTTTTGTAGTTTTTATGAATGCTTGTTAATAGCTTGCGCGAGACATCATCTATACGCAGTACAATTCAGATGTTTGCAATGTATAGGTCAGTGGGTTCCAGCCACTGTCACTTTCAGAATGTTGTCATCACTTCTCAAATACACCCTCCCCACACACACACCCCGTCAAAGCCTTAACCAACCGCCAAGCTCCCTTCTGTAGATTAGTCTGCTGTGGACAGTTTGTCAGCAGAGTCCTACATTCTCCTGTGGTGACTTGTGTATTGTCATTTGTGAGCAACTCTTTCACTTGGTGTAATGCTTTCCAGGGTCATCCATACTGTGACCTGGGTCCCTGTGGACTTCCTTCCTTGTATGACCAAATGGGACTCCCTGTGTGGCGATCCCTTGAAGCAAACACTGCTTCGTGAGGATTTTGTAATGTGGCTGTGAGATCCTCAGAAGAAGGCTGTCATGGCAAATGGGCTCCAGAGTCTCAAGAGTGGTGGGATGACTCCCAATGAGGTTGTGTTCGCAAAGGGCCCTTTCACGATGTCGCCTCTGCGTCCCCCCTGGCCCAGACCCACCGAGAGTCACCTTTGAAAAGGCCTGGAGACCTGCTTCCACTAGGTCACAGCCCTGGAAGCTCCACGGAGCACAGTCTGCCCCAGCACAGGGTTGCCATGCGTTGGCAGTGACCCCACTGAAACTGCTGACTGCTCATCCTCTGTAACCCAGTGTGGCACAGTGGGTGCCTGTCCCTTGACTTATGATGGCTTTGAATTTGGGCCTTGTTTGTTAGGGTGGTTTTCCTGAAGTGAAGTGTGTACCCAAAGCTAACCTTCACAAGCAATTGCCAAAAATGTGATTCTGATGTAGCATGAGGTTTAATTTATAGTCACACTTGCCATTTCAGGGGTCTAAAAATCAAACAAAACCTCACTTCTTTTTGGGGAAGTTTTTGGCCAGCAGTGTAATGGTGTAGTACTGTAGCAATCACTATCAGGAGCCCTGGTGGTGTCATGGTTATGCATTGGGCTCCCATAAACAGTTACGGTAAACAGTGCCCTTTAGGGTCACTGTGAGTCGGCGTCCACTTGATAGCAGTGAGTGAGTAGCGAGGTAGGATGATTCCCTAATGATTGTTTTCTTTTAAATAAGGTTTCCTTGTACTTGTTCAAAGAATTGCCTTTGTATCTCTGGCGACCTTCTCCCTCTGAGATCGCCGTGATTCGGGACTGGTTATTGAATTATAACCTGACAGCGGTGAAGAATAAACTGGCCTGTGTTATTCTGGAAGGACTCAACTGGGGGTTTGATGGACAGGTATGTGTTGAAACCATTTCTAGAGAAGGTGGGTCCTGCAGACACGTATTTCAAAGACACGCTTTCTGCTAGATCAGGGCTCAGGGTCTTCACTACTGTTTTGCAAAGTGATTTGTTTCTTCAAGGAAGATAAACTGCCCTGCACTGAACAGACCCTAACAGAACACTCCTCAGACCACCTGCATCTGTGGCTTTTTATCTGGCTACTCCTGCAGTTCCTCCTGGTTGCTCTTACTGCTCCCGCTTCCTCCTCTCCCAGCCGTCAGTTTGTCTGGCATGTGATTGCCCCCCACCCCCCATCTTTGGAAGCACTGCTCATTGACGAAGAGGGTGCGCTCTGAGCCAGGCCACCTGGCTTGTGGTCCTGCTTGCACCCCTTCCCGGTGGCATGACCCTGAATGCCTTGGGCTTCCATGGTTCATCTCTGAATATTGATGCTACCAGGACCCACCTCAGGATTGCTGCAAGGATCCCAAAAGTCCAGAGACATAAAGCGATCAGGCTAGTTCCTCGCACACGATCAGTACTCATTCGTGGTAGTGATTACGATTGATAGTTGGTGATTACCAGGGGTTGACTGCCATTTCTTCAGGCTACAAACGAAGGTGGGATAGGAAATTCAGTGGCTTTCAAACAGTATTGCTGAATGCTTAATTTTTCCTGATAAAATAAGGGAATGTGGACTTTATTCATTAAACATTTGCCTGGCTTATGGCAACGCCCTTAATTTACAGCCCAGGTTTTTTTGGAGGTGGATTCTGGGTGGAGTGGGGCTTTAATTAAAAAATAACTTTTTGTCTAGCATGGGAGATGGTCAAGGGTCACACCTGTCTAGGTGCAGTGTAACAGCTCTTGAATATTAACAGTTTTTCCTGCTGCCATGTTATGACCTCACTGTAAGGGATGTGACTTTGGGGAAACTTAGTTTCTAAATCCAAGATCATCTTTTGCTTTTCGTCTTTTGGTTCAAAGGTACCAAATGCCAACATGGTATATTTGTGGTTATTATTATTTCTTAAAGGGTGTCCTTCATCTGAACCAAGCAGTCCATGCAGACGTGGCTCTGATGGTTCTGGAAGCTTACCAGAAGTACCTGGCACAGAAGCCATATGCTGGGCTTCTTTCTGAAAGTATGAAGCAGGTACTTTTCTCTCTTCTGTTTTGAGCATATCAGTTTTTATTGGTAGATACCTGGGGGCTGAAAGCACTGGCCATCAGGGCTCCTTGGACCAGGGCTGGGCAACGTTTTTTCTGCCAAGGGCCATTTAGATATTTTTAACATCATTTATGGGCCATAAGATTATCACCTTAAAAAGTAGCCTGCTACAAATTAGTCAAACATTTAATTAACTCACCCCTAATGTGATGGCGAGAGCCCTGATGGCAGAGTGGTTATGTGTTGGGTTGCTAACAGTTAGGTCAGCAGTTTGAAACCACCAGCCGCTTTTTGAGAGAAAGATGAAGCTTTCTGCACCCCTAAAGAGTTACAGTCTTGGGAGAATCCACAGGGGAAGTGCTGCCCTGTCCTGTAGGGTCCACCAAGAGTCAGAATTGACACGATGGCAGTGCGTGAGTCATGTGACGGCTGGACAGCTTCTCTTTGGTGAGGCGTGTGATGTCAGCTGGCATTGATGATCTCAGCCCTTACCTAGCCCACATACCGCATACTCCCCATCCCTGTTGCAGCTGAGATCTGTGATTAACAAAGTGTTTTGTAACTTTTTTTGAATCGTTTCATTAGGGGGCTCATACAACTCTTTTCTGAGTAACAAAAGTTTTTAAGAAGCGGCCTCCACATGATCATTTTAACCTCGCAGCTCCTGGTGGTGGTAAATGTTTGGGAGCTCTGAAAGCTGCTTATTAAACTGGGGATAGTTTGAATTTGGCCATAGCGGGAGTTTGTATCCCACCAAAATTGGCTGACACCCACCCCAGCTGAATGGGGATCAATTTTGATATCATTTCTCATTTGTTTGAACTGACTTAGATTAGGCTCACAAAGTGACTCACTCCTAAGTAGAAGTGGTCAGTTGTGGGAAATTGCTTTTGCAAAAAATTGCTACTAAGGATACACACACACACACACACACACACACACACACACACACACACACGAATTGCTACTAAGGATACACACACACACACACACACACACACACACACACACACACGAATTGCTACTGAGGATACACACACACCCACCCACCCACACACACCCACACACACCCACCCACCACCACCACTACCACCACCACCACCACCACCTGAGAAATTGCTTCAGATGTCGTGTAGTAAAGGTGACTTGAGTCACTTAAGCAGTATTTCCTCCTGGAGGTGAAAGGAGATGGGTGGGTGAACTTACGGATTTAATTGATGTGATTGACGTGGTTTAAAATAAATACTTGTTTTAGGTTTCATATTTGGCCAGCATCGTGCGCTATGGAGAGACACCTGAGACCTCATTTAACCAGTGGGCCTGGAACTTGATCTTGAGGTTAAAACTGCACAAAAACGATTATGGACTGCAGCAGAATTGCCCAGCTGTCCCCTTCTCCAGCATGGTCCCCGACATGACAGAGTCACCCACGTTCCATCCTCTCCTGAAGGCTGTGAAAGCAGGCATGCCCGTGGGCTGCTACCTCGCCTTGTCCATGACAGCTGTGGGCCACAGGTACAGGACAGCAAATCCCCCGGGTTGCCACTTTTGCTGTGGTCACTGGTTCTTGGCTGTCATCTTTCACACCTCACAGATCTGAACCCTCCCCCAAACCTGTTTAGGGAGAATTGAGGGTCCAATAATAAACCTTGGTAGCTTTTCAAGGGCCAGTGCTGCCCCGTTGACACAGGACACATTTGTACCAGCTTATCCCCTCATTATAGCATACCCATGTTTTCATTGCTGTGGAGTGGATGCTGACTCATAGCAATGCTGTAGGACAGGGTAGACCTGTCCCTGTGCATTTCTGAGACTAACTTGTTACGGGAGTAGGAAGCCCCATTTGTCTCCTGAAGAGTGACTGATGGTTTCAAGCTGCACACCTGGCTGATCACAGCCTGATGTATAACCGCTGTGCCACCATTTAGGTGGGGATAAAGGAAGTCATTGTTGGCATCAGGCACCCCAGGCAAAGCCCTATGAGGCTGAGGCCAGATTTGCTTCTGTTCTCAGCCCACTCTTCCACTCTGAGCTGGGCGTAGTAATTCATTGTAATTGTCACACAAGTCCTGGTTTACTAAGGAATTCACATGTTACAGATGCTCAGGACACAGTTACTCAGACAGGATAGCCTCTTCTCAGCTGTGCCCACAGGCAGACCTCTCTCTGGTTGTTGGCCCCTGGGCCTCTGGCCAGTCCATGGTGTTACAAAGCCAGGACATGCCCCAGAGGGCATGCCTCTTCATCTTAGGCCTCCGCCCAGAGGTGCGCAGCTCTAACTTGTGGGCCAGCAAATCTTCCTCCCCCAGTTTTCTGGAGGCAACCCACTTCACAAGCCAGCTTCTTTCCCGATAGCATTCAGCTCGCCTCGCTCTCTTACCTGGGAAGTCCCTGTGAATACTCTGGCTCTGATGCTGCAGCCGCTCCTCCGGAGTCAAAGCTGTCTCCTGGACCAAGGAAGCTCAGTGCACAGGGATCTCAGAATGAAAGGATGTGCCCTACTCCTGGCTGCAAGAGAGCTCCCCCTGCCTGCTTCTCAGACGGTTCCTTTTCTACCCAGCAGGGTGGCATTCCCAGCCAACCAGCGGTTACCAATCCTAACTGCATCCTGTTGGTGCCTTACCCAGAGCCATCAAGAAAGGTCATTCGGTGGGCATTACAAAGGCTCTGGCCAGAAAAGAGAGCTGTGTCCTTTGTGAATGTTCTAGGACACTGTCCTTAGTTTGTACAATCACAGTTTTGAAATCATTGATTTCTGTTCCCATTGGGATCCTTTCTCCTCTTGCATTTTATATAAGCAGCGGGAAGAAATCACAGGGCCCGTGAGATCTTATTTCTTAGCCAGATACCCAAGTTCACACCCTCTGTCTAGCATTCGAACATGATTCAGACACTCTTTGCCACTCCAGAGGAAGCATGGCCTTTCGTCCAGTGGCCAGTCACATGGTCATCGTTCTCTTGTACAGCTGTGCCAGAGCACGTGGCATGTTCAGAGTTCTTGCAACATTCTGTTCCTGGTGCTCTGTGTTCGCACAGTGGCGGAGACTTTCTCTTTCTTGACCCTCATCGGCATTGTCTTTGACATCCGTAATTCTGCCGACCTTCTCTTCAAGGAAGTCCAGGTTTCCCCTCACTGTCACCCAGATTCCAACTCAGCGTGACCCTATAGGACAGAGTAGAACTGCCTCTGCGGGTTTCTGAGGCTGTAAATCTTGACAGGAGCAGGAAGCTTCATCTTTCTCCTGAGTTTGAACTGCTGAGCTCGCATCTACTGTGCCACCAGGCTTTTACTGTTAGGTCATTTAAGGCTTTTCAGCCTCTATCCATTACCCAATTCCACATCTGCCAGTGAAGAAGCAGTCCGCCCTTTGGCACCAAATTGTGTCTCTCATCAGCTGTTGTTAGATGGCATCTTCTGCACAGCAGAATGGAAAACTGCCCAGGCCCTGGGCCATCCTCGCAGTTGTCTTAGATCTCGTGCTGCTGTAGCAAAAACACAGTCTCCTCTGATCCTGTCTCTTAACAAGGCCGCCCTTTCCCAAATGAGATTGTCACCGTCGACATAGAGGTTATATTTGTAGCACGTTTTGGGGAGACACGCTTTGGTTAATACCAAAGCACCATTCTACTTCCAGAGTTCTAGGTCTAGTTCTAGTCCAGAGTTCTGGTTTAATGTTTCCTTGTGAAAACTGGGCAAAGAAAGACTTGTCGGAGCCCAAGGAACTCAGGGCAGGATGCCAGCTGGGACATGGCTTCATGAACTGGCCACCTGTGCCCTCATTGTCCTCTCCTTTCTCTACAGCATTGAGAAGTTCTGTGCGGAAGGCATCCCGCTGCTGGGGGTTCTGGTTCAGTCGAGGCATTTGAGAACCGTGGTCCATGTCCTGGATAAGATTCTTCCTTTATTCTACCCGTGCCAGTATTACCTCCTGAAGAATGAACAGTGAGTACCCTTCCTCTGTGGCAGGATCTGTGGAGAGCAGCTCCGCAAGGCGAGTGACTGTGGCTGTTAGTTTCGGAAGTGGAATCTGGGAGCTGCCATTTCAGTGGTGGTTTTTAGGAGACGGAAAACCCCAGTTTAGAATGCAGGCGGTTTGATGATCCTAGTTGTCTGATCAAGAGTGTGCTTGGATTGCTTATATGTGGTTAGTATTGGAAACATCTGGCTTGTTTCCGTTGGATTCTGGGAAGAGTGCTCCCAGCATTAAGCAGAGATGGCTGTGTCCAAGCAGCAGTAATGAACATGACACATTGTGCATGGGACACACATAGACTGGTTTGGAATTTACAACATGCAGGCTGACGCCAGAGCGCTGTAACAAAGATGGGGGACCACTCTCCGGAGTCTCTCACTCCCGATTCCTACTCACAGCAACCCTAGAGGACTGGGTGGAACTGCCCCGGTGGGTTTCCAAGGGTGTCACTCTCCATGGGAATAGAAAGCCTCATCTTTCTCCTGAGGAGTAACTGGTGGTTTTGAACTGCTGACCTCGCAATTGGCAGCCCTGTGTATAACCACTACGTACCAGGGCTCCCTTCTATGGAAGGTAGAGGATATTTATTGGCATACAATGGTCAAGTTACATGGGATATTAGGATCCCTGACGGCAGGTGAAAACCCAGTGCAGACCAGTGTCATCAGAAAGGTCTGTGTTGACTGCATGCTTGGGAGGGAGCGGGGCTTCAGAGCCTCCTATGAACTTTAGGGTTCAGCCAGGGCTGATGTTGGCCCCTGAGGACATTTGGTAATAACCAGAAGACATCTTTGGTTTTCATGAACAGCTGGGAATCGTGGTATTGCTGGTATTTTCTGGGTAGAGACGGGCTCTCACTAGACATCTTACAGTGCACGCAGTACAGGCCCCAAAGAATTGCCAGGCTGCTCAAATTGTTTCTCTGTCTCTCTCGCCGGGTTCTGCTTCTCCTGTGGCAATGCCCTCTGGAGGGCCAGGGCCTGTGCCTGTCTCTTGTGCTGTGTGGCAGCCCTACATCACCCGTCACAGCTCCCGGTCCTGGCTCTGCCCTCAGACACACGGGGCGTCACCACCTCTGCAGAGAGCATAGTTACCAATTTTAAGATCTGAAGGAACACGCCAGGGTGTCGTGAGAAAGGTCTGTGAGTTAGGCATCTTTTAGGTGGGGGTTGCTTAGGGACGCACTGAGGAAGGAACATTGTGCGTGAGACGTCAGGAACGGGTAGGGGCTGCCAGGTGAGGTGGGGACGGAAGAGCTTAGTGAAGCCCTGGGAGAGCAGAGAAGGGAGCCTGGGCACCGAGGCCATGATTGTGAGCGCAGCCCTGAGAGCTCCCATGGCCCACCCTGTGTAAAGATGACCCCAGCATACGCCCACCGGATGGCGCTGTGGTGGGCAGGGCTCTCTAGAGAAACAAAACCAGGACACAGATATGGGTAGGTTTGCACAGCAAGGACTAGAGCAGCCAATTAGTCCACACAGCAGTACAGAGGGCTCAGTTCAACTCATGAGGCCTCTTGGGCCCAAGGTCAAGGAAGCAGACAGCAGAGTCCTCCCTGGGGCAAGGCAAAACAGAGGGTGGGTGGAGGGGAGGGCGGTCACCAGCAGTCAGTACCTCGGGAGCTTAGCTCACCAGAGAGCAAGAGAGAGAAGGGGCAGGCCTTGTAGTGCCATGTATCCCTTTGCCCTCCAATCAAACTGCTCCCTGATTAATCCCACCTGTTCCTATTGGCCAGGTTGGCACCATAAACCTACCTATCACGGATGTGAAAGCCCTTCTGCAGCTATGTAAAGATGACCCCAGTCAGAGCCCACCAAATGCTGTGAAAGCCCTCCGCTCTTCTTGCTGGCAGTGAGGTAGCACGGTGGTGTTTGTGGCTTTTCCCCCCAGTGCTCGTTAATTGCATGTGTTTCTGTGGCGTGGTTAGCGACCCTGTCACACAGAGTAGAACTGCCCCTGTGAGTCTGAGACTTTTGAAAGGAGTAGGAAGTTCTCTCAGAATGGCTGGTGGCTTCGAACTGTTGACCTTTATGGATCACATCCCAACGTGTACCCACGATGCCACTGGGGCTGGTATGCATCTGCAGGCACACCCACACCTACATTTGAGAAACGTTCCCTCAGAAATTCCGGGAGCTGTCTTGGGAATCCTCCACAGAGCTCTGTTCTGTGGCCATTTCCCGTGCCTGTTCCCGGGAAGCAGCGTGCCACAGCCAGCCTGCTCTCTCCTGATGGAGGTCCTGTTGCTTGCAGGTTTTTGTCGCACTTCCTCCTGTTCCTGCACCTGGACAGCGGTGTCCCTCAGGGTGTCACGCAGCAGGTCACCCACAAGGTGGCGCAGCACCTGACGGGAGCCAGCCACGGGGACAACGTGAAGCTGCTCAGTGGCATGATCCAGGTCAGGGCCCTGCACCCCTGCACTCCCCACACCCCACACCCCCTCGGCAGGCTTCCCAACCAGAGATATCTGTGTCGGGGTCCTGTCAAGCCTGGCCTGTGTTCAGCATTGGGCGTTGCAGTGGAAGCTGTTACCATCATGCTAGTGGTGGTTTAGATGGTGGGGCAGTGCGAGGATGGAGGCCAGCTGCTACCTGTGCTCCATCACCTCAGCCTTCTCTCCCACAGGCACACATCTCTGTAAGCACTCGACCCCACAAGGTGGGCCCTGTTGCTGTGCTGGAGTTCTGGGTCCAGGCTCTTATAAGCCAGCACCTATGGTACCGAGAACAGCCCATCCTCTTCCTCATGGACCACTTGTGTAAAACAGCTTTTCAGCTGATGCAGGAGGACTGTGTGCAAAAACTACTCTACCAGCAACACAAGGTAAGCCCGTTAGATCCATGGGATCCACAGCCCGCTAGCACGGAGCCCCGTGAAATTAGAAGAAAGAGCACCTTTCAGAATGGTGTGGAAGGGCCACCTGCCCTCTTCTGAATGCAGGAGGCGGGGAGAGTCTCGCCACCAGTGTCACCAACGCTGATTACTGTGCGCATATGTCTTCTCTCCAAGTGTGTTTGACCGCTTCTCCCAGCTACCTCTCCCAAGGCACTCTACTTCCTAGCTGGCCCGAAACCTTTACTAGGGAGGTCACAGGATTGATTCAGGATGCAGTTCTTTGATCAGCACAGTTATCCAGCCACACTCACAGGCAGGCCTTTCCCTGGCCAGTGGCCTCTTGGGCTGGCCCACCCTCTAGGGCTGGGGCAAGTGTCTGTTACAAAGCTCTTTAGTTGTACTACTGAGCACCTGGAGGCAGCAGCTCCACCAAGCCTGGCTGCAGGCACTTGGTAGGTAAGTCTTGCTCCGTGCGCTGTGATTCCCACAGTGCCGCCTCCTGCGGGTCTCCTGCTGCTGCGGCTGCTCCTGCGCCGGGCTCGCTGCTCACCGTCTTGTGCGGTGTTCACCATTACAACTCTCTGTCTCCTTAGTCCCAGAGCTCGATGCTGGCACCCGGGGCCCAAACGACATTCTTGGCTCTGGCTCTTCTTTCTTGATGGTAGTGAGGCCACATTCTACTCTGGCATGGGCTCTCTTTGAACCCTAGTGGGCTGGGAGAACTTACAGGTAGTTCCCTCTTTAGGGTTTCATATGCCGTGTTTGCACGGTCCTACCCATGCAGAGGTCCCTGCACCTTATTTACATGACCAGTAAGCTGTCCAGTCCCTCTGAAGGGCCACAGATGTATTGGCAGGTCTCAGCCCAGACATAGTGTGAGTGTCACAAAGGCCATGGCTTTCAGGGCTGTGTGTGGTGATTCAGTACACATCGCGCCCCAGGAGAACCCGCGTATTCCATTTCTCTGTAGCCGGCTGTCCGGACTATCACTGCTGATGGGCTAATTATTGAAATCTGGGTCTTATCAGAATCTTCTACTACACTGAGACAACTGCTGATACAGCTGAAAGTACCGCAAGTTTCTGTGCTCTGTGCCTTGTCCCTTCGTAGAACGCTCTGGGCTACCACTGTGACCGCAGTCTGCTCTCTTCCTTGGTGAGCTGGATCGTGGCTGGCAACATCACTCCGTCCTTCGTGGAGGGCGTGGCCTCGTCCACCCAGGTAGGAAACCCCCAAAGCAAGGCGTGACTGTTTGTTAGCTCTGTGACCTTTAACATTATCATCCTGACGAATAAATTCTAATAGCTGTGTTGGGCCCAGTTGACTAGAGAAACAAATCCAGTGATACTCATATATGTGTGAGAAAGAGCTTTTGTACAAGAAGTTATTATACATCAAGAAAACATCCCAGTCCAGTCCAACTCAAGTCCATAATGATACTAGTCCATAAGGCCCACTGCAGACTCATGCAGCCACAGGCTAATCTTGTAAGCTCTTTTGTCCAACAATGTCCGTGTGCCCGTCGTGGCCCCATTCCCGCTTCTGTAGTCCCACCTCTAACAGTGATGTCTTGATTTTCCACCAGTCATGAGTTTGTGACAGCCCCCTTTGCTCCATACCTCACATCACAAGCACCCTGACCGGATCCCCAGATGTCATTTTGACCTCGTGCTAATGGCTCCCCTCATCGGGGTGATGTTTCTGTGTCTTTGTGTGGTCTTTGCTTTCTTAATAAATGTCCTCCTTAAATTATTTTTTGAATGTATCTGTGAGTTTACATGTAATGTTTTCAATGTTCAAGCACAGAGATGAGCTTTATAAGGATACCGATAATAAAAGGCAATGATAATGAAAATAAAGTGAGGTACTGACTTATACCTCCTTCAGGCCCCACACTGTTACGTAGACTTGCACACATTTGAACCAGTGTCCCCTCTCAACAAATTCTACTTCACGATCATCTCACCTGCTGCCCTGTGCACTTTTTAATCATTGAAACAGTTTCAGGTCTTTTCTTGCCCAAAAGATCGCTGCCCTTCTGTGGATTCTGACTCAGTAGTGACCCTGTGGGTGGGTGGGATTGCCGCTTGGGTTTCTGAGAGTGTAAATCCTTAGGGGAGGAGAAACGAACTGCTGACCTGTGGTTAGCAGCCCAGTGCATAATTAATACACCTCCAGGGCTCCTTCCTTGCACTAACGTGAAGCTAAGTAAGAACGGTATGCACCTGCTCAGACTCACCCACAAATTCCACTTAAAGACACAGGAACCGGTTTTGTTCAGAACCAGGGACCACCTATATTTGACTAAGTCAAAAACGACGGCCCAGTTGTTAGGACAAATGCCTGCTCTGAGTTGGAAAGACCTGCATTGAGTAGGATTCCACCCGCTCTCTTGTGGCTGCATTCCTACTGTGACGCTGCACTCAAACCGTGCTCACTCCTCTTTCCCTTCGCTACTGACATGCGAGTCCTGCGTAGGCGCAGAGCCAGTGTCTGCCCGCCCCTTTCCAGTCTCTCAGCCAGCGAGCAGAGCTCCTTTCACTACCAAGGGACCCTTTCCACAGGAGCTTGGTGTTTTCCAGTGATTGATCTTATCTGAATTCATACCCGTGACCATCGGGATGGAGATAAAAGTTTCCCTCTCTGTTACCTTTAGAACCTGTAAATGCTGGCCGAGGGTAGTGATAAGATTGTCAGCCCGAGGACTGTCAAGATTGCTTCGTCATCCCGAGGTTGCTCGCTCGCTCGCTCACTCTTTTCCTGTACCCGGTGTCGTTGTAGGTGTGGTTCGCCTGGACTGTGTTGAACATGGAATCCATCTTTGAAGAAGATTCCCAGCTCCGAAGAGTTGTCGAAGGGGAATTGGTTATAAATTCTACTTTTACCCCTGACCAAGCTCTGAAGGTGCAAATAGCTGTTCTGCACTTGTGTGGTGAAAGGTGGCTTATACTTAGTGTCGATGGATGCGTGTAGCTCTTGAGCTTCTGTGCTTTTTGTTGCTGTTGCGAATGCTTGGAAAGCACATAACCAAACCCGTAGTTAATTGTAGAATTGCCCAACGTTTATTTAACAAGAGCCACAACCTGCGGGCTGGGTGGTTTTCCCAGGTGAAGGTGATTGTCCTTATTGTAAAGTAAGTGGGTTTGTGCCGTGTGCACTGCTGTCCCTGGGAGGGTGTATTCCTGAGTCTGGAACGCAAGCCAGGAGTTTGCTCATAATACACAGAAGCTTCAGAAGGTTCATGGAAAAACAGAATTGCAAGATATATGGGATTTTCTCATGAGCTATTTGAACCCCCTTTGTAACTCCACAGCTGACCTTTAGTCTTGAAAATATTGAGGAAAGTTGATGTATTCCTTTAGAATTCATAAGAAGTCCCCACAGGATAGACTTGGCTTTGAGGGGAATTTATCATTCTGGAAAGGTCTTTGAAAATTTCAGATTTTTGCGAGACCCGTCAAGCTTGATCGTCAAGTTGACTTTGCCCCCTGTCACCCTGCTCCCTGCACTCTCGTGTTTTAAATGCAGCTGAAGCTCAGGGATGGGAACGAGGCAAGGCTTGCTTGATGGCTCTTGCAGCCCATTCCCCTTTGGTGCTTTGGGAACGGTTTCGTCAGAAAAACAAAAGAGCTGTCCTGTTGTTCTGCTGCCAGGGAAGTGGATGTGTTCAGTAGTGAGTGGAGGCTGTATGCAACATAATTTTTCTCCTACCAAAATGAAAAGAATGCTCAGTGTCACGTTTGAGCTGGTTTTCCCGCCGCGAGGGCGCCGGCTGTGCTGGCCGAGTCATGAGTCACACCCGGGTGGCTCACAGTCTCTTCTTTTGTAGAAAGCCCAGGCCCAGCTGAAGCTCCCCATTGTCCCGTCCCTCCAGCGGCTGCTGATTTACCGATGGGCCCACCAGGCCCTGCTCACGCCCTCTGACCACCCTCTGCTGCCACTCATTTGGCAGAAGTTCTTCCTCCTGTATCTCCACCGCCCAGGACCACAGTACGGGTAAGGTGCTCAGGGTTCCCCCGTGTCTGAAGCCACTCCTGCCTTTGTTTGCATGTCGTGTTTCTTGTGTGATGTAAGTCAGAACGGTTGTTGGGTGAGGAGTGGGGTGAACCACGACCAGACTGTGGCAGCCAGGGGGCCGTGTGTGCGTGTGTGCTGGGGTGTCCAGCGTTTCAGCTGCCTGCCTCGAACCAGCTCCCTGGCTCCGAGCTCAGTCCCCGACCCACTCTTCATTCCCTAGTCCGCTCCTTTGAGACTGTCAATTCTTCTGTTACCTGCTGCAAGGGCTTCAAGCGCAGGGCTCATCTTTAATCAGTTTTCTACCTCTCAGTGGTGATAATACCTTGATTTTGGTGTCACATTTTATTCTTCTGTTTTACGTGCACCCGTATCGTTGGGCCCTCTCATAAGACCCTTGGGGATAGGGACGGTGAGGGCTAGTTTACTGCCTGAGCCCTGGAGGTGCTGCTGGGTGCACGTTGGAGTGCCAGCAGCAAGGTTGGTGGTTCAGCACACCAGCTGCTCTGGAAAGATCGGTAGCCTAGGAAACCCATGCGATTTGCTTTGCGTTCTAAACGACTTGATGGCAGCGGGGATACACAGAGCACAGGCCAGGGGTGGCCACATTTGAAAGGGAGTGGTTTGGACCCACCGTCGGCACTGGAGCAGAATGTCTTGGTGATCTACTTCCAGAAAGATGGCATCCAGGAAACCCTGTGGCATTTGGTTCTACTCTGTAATGCCTGGGGTCTCTAGAAGTCTGAATCAACTCTATGGCAATGGGTTTATATATTTGTATTTGGTTACATACCAAAAAACCCCAAACTCATTGCCATCACCTGATTCTGACAGGGTAGAACTGCTCTTGTGGGTTTTCTAGTAGAAAGCCTTCTGTTTCTCCCATGGAGCATTTGGTGGCTTTGAACTGCTGACCTTGTCTGCCGTCAATGCTCAATGCATAACCGCTACACACCACCAAGGCTCCTGGTTGTACACCCATAATCAGTTGACTTGCTAATTCACTGCCACTTTGGGCCATGATGTTATCGAAAACTTATAGACCTATGCTTACATTTTTAAGGTTACCCATAGATGGTTGCATTGGAAGAAGGTTTTTTCAAAGCCCCGCGCACATCACTTTGTTGAATGACATGAAGAGGCGCCTGACCGAGGTGGCTGACTTCCACCATGCTGCGAGCAAGGCCCTCCGAGTTCCAGCAGAGGGCAGCGAAGGACCATGCCAGAGCCAGGCGGGGACCCCGGGCCACCTGACTTCTCCGGAGCTGCACGCAGAACTCGTGAGGTAACTAGTCCTTTAGTCCAGCACTGCCCTGGGGCAGTTTGGAACCCTAGTGCAAGGAAGAGACTGGATGCCTTTGCAGTGATTCAAAAGCTGCATTTGCAGCAGCATGTGAAAGTGATTGGGATTGGTTTGTTAACTATTCAAACAATGTGGGCAGACTGTGAAGGGGCCTAAAAAGTTTGTGGAAAATGACATATCTTTCAACTCCATTTCCCCTCATAGT